TTGACAACAATGCCTGATATGAGGAAGGCTTGATCATTCTATAATGCCTTGTGCAGCCAGCAGACCTGCAAGCTGATTTCCTTGTATTTATTTTTTTTGGTTGCATTGTGAGGCATGTAGCATCTTAGTTCCCCAACCAGGGATCAAACCTACGCCCACTGCATTGGAAGCTCAGAGTCTTAACCAGTGCACCACCAGGGAAGTCCCTGCAAGTTGATTTCTGCAAGGTATAATACCTGCATGACTCTGCAGGGGTGGGCAGTCCTGGCAGACCCATTCCTGCAGTTTAAACAGGCCAACATGAGTTGGCCTAACACTGGGCCCTAAAGGCTGTGAAATGCCATAAAAATGCCAGGAACTATCACTGTGTTGTGATATCCTCTATGGGGTACAAGGCAGCTGATAAAGTAAGCATGGGCTGCCTTGTACCCCATAGAGGATATCACAACACAGTGATAGTTCCTGGCATTTTTATGGCATTTCACAGCCTTTAGGGCATGGTGTCTCATTCGATCACACAACAATCTTTTGTGCTAAATGGTGCATGTGTCATCACCCTCTGTTTACAAACAAGCATCTGAGGGTCCTGGAGCTTAAAAGACTTGGCCAAGAAGCCTCCCCTCTCTCGCAAGTGGCAGCAGATCAGGACTCAAACATCCTTGGGGCCCAAAGGGAGTCACCTGCCAACTGATATGGTATGGTGAGTCCTGCTTCCTATGTTTCAGCAGGTCAGCAGCATTTTAAAAACCTGAGATTGAAGAACTCCAGCGCCTTCACAATCCAAGGGCAGCCCGTGGGTCAGCAGCACCAGCAACTCTTGGAAGCTCATTAAGAAAGCAGAACCTCATGTCCACCCAGACCTACGGAATCAACGTCGGCCTATCGACAAGATCCCAGAGACTCAGAGTTTGTGGCAATATATGATTTCCTCCCTGTGCTTTGGCTGACTTTTCTAGTCTCACGTTGGGGACCTAGCCTCAGTGGGGAGGTCTTGAAGGAAAGAAACTTCCACCTGATTGTTTCCTGAAAGCCACTAGAAAAGTTGGCTTATCTGGCCAGCTTCACACTCTGAAAATGGTCTCTACCTTTTTCCTTCTCTCCCCAGCTTCCTGCTGAGACTTTCACCCAGAGATACATCTGCTCAGTTGACTCTAGATTTTTCATTCATTTCAATAAAAGCACAAACATGGAAGATGCGATTTCAGTTTGCCTTGATTTCTGGGAATCCTAATATCTGTTTAAAGAACTCCCAATGTGATAGGGGATTAAGATGTACAAACTACTGATACCAAAAAGGACCCAATGGGGCTCCTGGCACAAAAGCTTTTCTGTATCCCCTGAGAAATGGAGTATTTCCTGTATAGCAGTAAAGAAGGTTGTCACAGTCATCAGTGATTCCAGCCCTCCAGGGCACTCAGGAAGGAGAGGAATACCTGCACAATCTGGCAGCCACTAGGCTGCAGCCACTCCCTGTGGTGAGCACCGAGGAACTCATGATGTGAAGAAACGGGATACGGGCCCCAGGATAGCTGAGATGCATATGAAAGGAGTGATTTCAGTGACCCCAGACTCTTGCATCTTTTCCATACATAGAAAAGTGGTAAATTCCTTAACTTGGGATATCTGGTTTTCTTTAATTCACAAAAATACTTTTGATGTTCAGACTACTTGCCCTTAGTTGCAATCTTCTATACAACCTGACACTGCCCACCCCCACCTTGCTGCCTCCATCCCACACCCACCCCCCACCCTGGCTCCTAGGAGCAGTTTTCTCAGGTCACTTGAGATGCTGTCTCCCAGCCCTGAAGTCTTAAAAATCCCTGCTGAATAAAACGTAACTCTCAACTTTTAGGTTGTCACTATTTTTTAAGTCAACACCCCCAGTTTTTGATCACAAGAAACAGGCTGCATTCAGCCTCCATGGCCTCCCCTGAGGTCCAATGAGCAGGTTCAAACAGATGCTAATCAGAGAAGGGAGGGGATTGGGAGATGAGGAAGGAACAGGCAAGAAACAGCAGTGCAGCCGTGGGGCAGGGTCTTGGTTCCCCTCAAGGGATGCACAGGAAAATATGATTGAGCCATTCTGCAGACACTGAAAACCTCAGCAGGTGGGAGAAGTTAACTGTATGCTGCCCACAAGCATGTAGACCCCAGACCAACTGGAACAGAAGGATGATGAAGCTGACTCCCACTTTCCTCACCACCAACCAATCAGAAGAATGCTCGTGAGCTGATCATATCCTCTCTGAACCATTAAGATGAAACTCCTCACCCCACCCTCCAGGTCAGGACACACAGTTTTGAAGGCATTAGGCTGCTGTGGTCCTCTTTGCCTGGTAAAGCAATAAAGCTATTTTTTTCTACTTCACCCAAAACTCTGTCTCTGAGATTTAATTTGGTATTGGGGTATGGAGGCCTGATTTGGCCTCACTATTAGGTATAAAACAAACTACATGGATATATAGTTCAATGTGGAGAAAGAGCCAATATTTTATAATAACTATAAATGGAGTATAGCCTCTAAAAACTGTGAATTACTATATTGCACACCTAAAACTTATATAATATTGTACATCAACTAAACATCAATAATTAAGAAAAAAAAAAAGCCAAAAAAAAGAACTCCCAGTTTGAGATGTGACATAGCCATGAGTTTCTAGGTAAAGTATGTGATGTTAACATTTTCCTCTCCCTTTTCTGAGAAAGAATATTCTTTCACTTCTCTAGTGGTGTGCCTAGATTAACTGACATGCCCAATCATTGACTGGTAAAATCAGCAGCTCTGTTTAGACACAAGCAGAACACAATTTATAACCAGAAAGATTGTTTTTTTAAGTGGTGAGCTCAGCATTAGTACAGAAATTGGGCAAGGTTTTACCTGGCTTCTCTAATCAAGTTATGGTCTTGCCCCCTGCCCTCCAATGCTCTCCAGCTGACATAATAATCACTATGATTCTCTTCTGATTTTTCCCAGATATTTTTAACAGGCAGACCATAAGCTGAAATCAAGTTGTGACATCTTTCTATGTTTAATCTGCTTCAGTGATCTTTCATTTTTTTCCCCTACCTTGACCTTTTAACCAACTGAGCTTGGTTCCTTCTGTGTTGCTTTCAGCACAATTAATTAATGGTGCTGGGCCTGCACTAAATGGCCAGCGATGCCAGTCTTGTCCCAAGGTGAGCGTTATGTTAAAGACACATGCTTAGGGCAGTGGCTGGTGTTGCCTCTCAGGGATGACCTCTTTGAATCCACATGTTGGAACAAAGCAGAAAAAGATCATTTCATCTTCCCTCCAGTAATTCTCCATGAAGAAAGGGCACATATACCCATTTGGCAAGAGGCAGTAGCATACTATCCTACTCTGTTTAAAGAAAGGCAAACTCCTAATTACAAGCTGAATACACTCAGGGCTACTTTACTGTTAATGCATTATTTACTGAATATTTGCTTTTCTCTGTGACTAAAAGCAGGCCATTATTTCTCTCCTGACTTTGGGACAATCTGGGGCTCTGTTAAAGTTTCTAAACCCATCTGTTTCAGTCTGCTTTTAGCTGCTGTTCAGAAGAGGTACATTAAGTGCCTCTTGAGTGATTTCTGGCTGGGCCATGAAGCCACTGATTTAAGTCAACACTCACAATGCCCCAGGCCTGGGCTCCGGTTCTGAGTCCCAGGCTGCCACATGCCTGTCTCCAGAACTCACTTCCAGTCCTTTCCACTAAGGGATGCTGGTCATTCCAAGCTCACCAGTGCTCCTTCCTCTAGAAAGAGTGCTCTGACCTACCGCTTGGCCTTTTAAAGGAGCCAGTCCAAATTATCTCAGAACATTCAAAAACTTTGGCGCCTCACACCTCCAAGTTGAATTAGACATTGACAAAATGGTAGAATCTCAGAAAAAAAATTCTGATCAGAGTATAACCTTCATTCCTAAAACCTCTTTACTCCTCGGACTCAATGATGTTTTTAGCTACCTTGCAACTTCTAAAGGCAACTTTTCAGACCGGGGCTGAAGTTTGAACCAAATGGTAAATGGGACACGGTGACTGTGTAGGGGGTTTGGCGGGGTGGAAGTAAGGGGGTCGGGTGGAAAGAAGGCAGTGAAGGAATAAACAACCCTCCACTTCCAAATTTTTTTCCACCTCTGAAGCTGATGAAAGATAAATTCCCCAGGCCCACCTGGTCACCTTGGCCAGTATTCTTTCCTGTTGTTGTTTTCTGTTGTTTTTTTTTCCTGAGTAGATCTGATTTGGGCCAACAGTAAGGTCCTTGACATAGTCACAGAGGACCTCAGCTTTGGGAGGCCATGAGATCTAGGGATGGGCATAGATGATACCCTAGGGCCAACACTAAGCATCTGACTCTGGAGGAGGTTGGGGCACCCTGTTGTGCATTGTGGCAGAGGACTGGCATCTGGACTTCTGGCCTCTTTTAAAGGGAGGTCACATCAGTGGGAAAATATGCTTGCGTAGATACAGTCAACAGAGATCAGACAACGCTTTGACATGGATGGCAACACTGCCAGATATTCAGACAGCCCCCTCCAACCACATAATCAAAACAGGAAATGGCTTGTGTCCAGAGGAGAAGAGTAATCAAGTCTTGGCCATGAGCATCCGCGGGGTGGAGAAGGTAAGTTACAGGGAGTAGCCACTTCACAGGGCTCCATGGACTGGGCTCAGCCCAGTCTGAGGCGGATAACAGAGCCATACAGTTTTCCCGTTTCTACCCCTTCTGGGGACTTACCACAGCCCATCTCTGGAAGCTGCTGCCTTCTCCTGCCTGCTAGAAAGGAGCTCCCAGGGCTGAAGGGCTAGAGGCAGAGGAAGGCTGTTCACCACTTCTGAGGGGAATGAATTCCGATCCTGGAACCTCACTAAGACAATGAGTGACACGGTGACTTCTCTCTACTGTGTCTGCTGGCCCATCTCATCACCCTCCCGGCAGCATCAGCGTTCGGGAGAGCAGTCCCATGCTGAGCCAGGATCCCAGCGGAGTTGCCTACCTGTATCTCTGCTTCACTGACTGCTTCTCCGCTGACTTGCAGATGTGCCCCGCGTAGTACAAGGGGAAGAATAAAAAGTTCCAGTTGGTGGCAAACCACGTCAGGGTGAAGGGAGCATCGAACTTCCGGAAGGTCAGCTTGGCGAGCTGCGTGGCGCCCGCCCAGGAGGCGCACACGCACAGCACCACCGCCAGGCCCCAGAAGATCTTCTTGAGCTGCGCGCGGGAGCATCTCCAGCAGCGGCGGCTTGGTCTCCCACCGGCCTCGGTCCCCGCCGGCGCCTGGGCCTCCGCCGGGCCCGGGGAGTCCCGGGGGCGCTCCTCCCCTGGCGGCAGAGAAGGGAGAGGTTAACTGGGGCCCCCACACCTTCACGTGGCCAGGCTGAACGGGGTTGGGGTTAGAGGGATGCCAAGAAGGTAACCGACCCCCGACTGCTATTGTTATTGCCACCATGTGGAGGAGAGTGTGTTTGGGGGGGTGGGTGGGGGGAATGGGGGCCTGGAGGCAGCTTCCTGAAACAAAAGTTGAAGCCGTTGTCTCTGGTTTTCTTATCCTCTAGAATTGCTGTTGTTGTTTAATCGCCAAGTCGTGCCCTACACTTCCTCTAGAATCCTCTAGAAGCTTGAACCCCAAAAGATGGTTCAGTCGTGGGCTGGCAGCATCAGCACCACCACCAGCTTGCTGGCAATAAGGAACCTCCAGAACCCTGGCATCAGATTGTGTATTTCAGCAGGTGATCTCTGTGCACACCTGGAGAAGCGGAAACATTTCTCCAGAACGCAGAGTGGCTGAAATGTTTTTTCCAAATATTTCACCAGTATTTCAGCTCACAGGGACTGATGTGCAGTCCCAGCGCTGGGCAGTGCTAGGGGCTGGGGATTCCCTCCTGAGGAGGTCACAAGCATTGACCTCTAGAAGCTCCCATTACAGTGACAGAAGCTCCTCCGTGCCTGTCACTTAAGGGCACGGATGCCAACAGACTCACTTTCTTTTGCAGGTAGAGCAAAAACAGGTTGTCCTGGAACTTCCCTGGTGATCCAGTGGCTAAGACTCTGCGCTCCCAATGTAGGGGGTGTGGGTTTGATCCCTGGTCTAGGACCTAAGATCCCACATGACTGTGGGGTGTGGCCAAAAAAAAAAAAAAAAGAAATATATATCTGTCCCTTGTTGGAAAAGACCCTGATGCTAGGGAAGACTGAGGGCAGGAGGAGAAGGGGACGGCAGAGGATGAGATGGTTGGACGGCATCACTGACTCCATGGACATGAGTTTGAGCAAGCTCTGGGGGATGGTGAAGGACAGGGAAGCCTGGCGTGCTGCAGTCCATGGGTCGCAGAGAGGTACAACAGGAGTGAATGAACAACAACCCTCTTGCTTCTCTATTTGCTCTTACTGACTCCTAGCTGATGGCCGTCAGTCCCACTGTGAAGTGTTACTTAAAAACCACAGCCTCTGGCAGCTGGTGCTCTGAAAGCCCTCGGACGATCTGCTGGAGGGCCGTGTGACTTCTGGAAGCAAGGCTGCAGCAGCACTGTTCCCACAGACCATGAGAAAACGGAAAAGGCATTCTCTTCCACTGCTTGGTTTCCATTCATGATTGTGTGCAGGTCAGTCAGCTGGAAATTTAAACAGAACTGTAACTTGTGTAAGGTGTGACCATGGATGGGGGCGAATTTCCAAGAGATGGCCTACTTGCCTTTTATATGTTCAGCCAGGCACTCAGCTGAAAGAGGGCAGAACCTACAGTGGTGCAGGAGATGGGTACAGAGTATATTGGGGTCAAATGGTACACTATGGACGTTGTTTAAACTTAATTGTAATTTTAATAGCTCTAATACTATGAAACCAAGTTTTATATATTATACTGTCTGAAATATAATAATTCTTTTAAAAATATTTATTTACTTATTTGGCCATGCCAGATCCTAGCTGTGGCACTCAAGATCTTGGTAACTTTAAATGTAGCATGGTAGCATGTGAGAACTCTAGTTGCAGCAGCAAGGATCGAACCCAGGTCCCTGCATTGGGAGTGTGACGTCTTAGCCACTGGACCAAGGGAAAGTCCCAGAACTATAATTCTATGAGGCAAAATTCTGATTCAAGGTAGCCTATTATATGTTGTTATTATTTAGTCACTAAGTCACGTCCAACTCTTTTCGACCCCCATGGACTGTAGCCCACCAGGCTCCTCTGTCCATGGGATTTCCCAGGCAAGAATACTGGAGTGGGTTGCCATTTCCTTCTTCAGGGGATCTTCCTGACCCAGGGATTGAACCCTCGCCTCCTTCATTGGCAGGTGGATTCCTTACTATTGAGTCACATGGGAAACTCCAGTCTATTATATAGGTGTTAGCTAATCGTAGCACTAATTGCCAAGTCTGGCTGTATCTCTTTTTTGTGTTTTTTTGGCCATACCACGCAAACTGTGGGATCTTAATTTCCTGATCAAATCCAGGCCCTCAGCAGTAAAAGTGCAGAGTCCCAATCACTGGATTGCCAGGGAAGTCCCAGGCTGTATCACTTTTAGCCAAGGGTAATCCAAACTCGATGGGCATGAGTTTGAATAAACTCCGGGAGTTGATGATGGACAGGGAGGCCTGGCGTGCTGCGATTCATGGGGTCACAAAGAGTGGGACACGACTGAGCAACTGAACTGAACTGAATCCAAAGCCTTTGTAGCTGGCCAAGGAGAGATAAAATGCCCTTTACTGATCCCAAATCCTTGACACCATCTAGTAAATATGTTGTGCTCCTGTACCTGCTTTATTAATATTTATTCTTCCTCCTCCTCTTTCTTTTCATGTGTGCATATATCTGAGTCAGAAAGCACTTGGAAAACCACATGCTTGACCACCTCTGAGCTTCCAACAAGTTGTGTGTTTCTGGCATGGGCTGCAGAGAGGGGAGAAGCAGAGGGGGCAAAAGCAAGGAAGATCCCTCTCCTTCTGCCTGATACCCTCCCACTAGGACGTTGTGACTTTGTTCACAGTGAATCACTACAATTTCCATTTTCAGATAGAAGCACACACGTTTTAGTTTGTACACTAAGTCCCTGACATTTGGGGGTGAGCCTCTGCAACCCGTCACCACTGAGTGTTCAAGCAGTGGTAGGGTTGGGAGATTCCTTGACCACCAGCATCAACTATCAGAAACTCATACCAAGAAGATAATTACGGAGATGAAAAAAAAAATGTCCACATAGAAAGGAAATGCAGTTTCACAGTATGAACTGGCCATTTAAGAATAGAACCTAGAGGAGGCTGAAAAAAAATTCAGGCTCCTAACATGTTTTTTCATCCAGTTTTGCATTATGGCCAATTAAATTTGAAAACTTAAAGAATGAAGCTATGACTGATGCTATGCAGTGTTACAATGAAGGAAAAAAATCACCAAATCATGTAATGTTGTACTGTTAGGACTTCCCTGGTGGTCCAGTGGTTAAGATTCTGCCCTCCAATGGAGAGGATGTGGGTTCAATCCCTGGTTGGGGAAAGACCCCACATGCTGCAGGCGCGGGTGGTGGTGGGGGAACCACCCAAATAAACAAAACAAATTGAGCTCATAAAAAATATAAAATTAAATTTCTCTTTTAAAAAATTATACTATTAAAATGTCTTTATATATTTGGATTAAAGAAATTATATCCAACTTTTTAACCTCTCTGGTTCATTTGACCAGGGCATATTGATAATACACATGCAAAATAAAGACATTCTGAACTCTATTATTAAAAAATAAGATAGAACTATGTTTCCCTAAGTATAATGCAATTAACAGGTACAGAATTATCAGAAAGAAGGATCCCATGATCAGAAGTTTGGAAAACAGGTTCTTTTGCTACAGGACTAATAGATGTAGTAGATTTCCAAAAGGCAGCTAGAGAATGTGTGCTTCCCATATTATTTCAACATAATACCTGTGGTAGGACTGGGGTCCCCTAGAATACACTTTTGGAAACACTGGGATAAACCATAAAGAATTAGAGGTATTCAAACCCAATACATTGCAAACTTTCCATTTCATAGCCCGGAGTCTCATATAGTGATAAATCACTTACCAACTTCATTACCTCACTCATTCCTAATACTTCTTTTAAACTAGACCTACCTCATGTAAACTCAGAATATTCTTTACAGAATCATTACAAAAGTATTTCATAGTATAAATAAAAACAATGCACTGCATATTTGAATCTTAGTACCTAGAGATATCACTGGACATTGTGCTGCATTTTCCCCAGCAAAGTTTGTATCTTTGCACAGCATATACACATTCACACACAGCAAAACTGGGATTATGCTGTATTTTTGGCCAGCAGTCATCTAACCGGATGCATAAGAGCACATATTTCTAAATCTCACAGGGCTGCATATACTGTAACACATCCAAGGAGCATTTCAATCTGCTAAGGAAGTTACCATGAGGCATCCGTCCTGTGCCAAGAACTTTGGGTGGTCAACAAATAAATATAAAGCATGACTGCATCCTGCTCTTCAGGAACTTGCAGTCTGTCTGGGAGTGACAAAACAGATCTATGAAAGAATTACAGAACAATTACAAATGGAGAAATTTTGACTGTAAGGCAAACTCTGAAGAGAGTGACACCAGTGTGGCTGTGATCCCAGAAAGATCAGAGGAGGCAGAAGCTTGGCTTGGGTCTTTCAGGACAGAAAGGATGAAGAACAAGAGAAGCAGAGATCAGGATCAGGACCTGGTCTGCCCCAAGAGTGGTGAGGAAGATGGTGAGCTCTGAAATCCACCACTGCCTTGTGCCACTGCAATGCCTAATCTTGCTCTGGCCAGATACACAGCAGGAGAAGTTGCCAGGCTAGCAGAAAAGACTTTAGCAAATTCAGATTTTGGAATTTACTTTTTCTAGGAAGTAAATATACATGCCCCAGTGTCCATAACAAACACATAAAATTAAAGAATAAAGTTAGAATGACACAATGAATTTGGTTAGCAGATGTGTTTATTCTCCTGTATTTGAAAGGCAGCAAATGCATCCCATCCCATGCTACCATTCTCAAGGTCACTTTCAGCAGCTATCCAACTGATGCTGGATTTCAGAAAGGAAGAATGACACTGAGGGGGCCAGTTTCCGCTTTCAAAATCCTCTTGTATGCTCCTGTGCAAGAAGTTCTGATTTATTTTCTCTCCCCTCCTAAATTACAAGTGACTCCTCGGTACCAGTGACTTCTTGGTCACAGCAACACAAGTAACCAAGTGTTTGTTGTCACTCCTCATCACCCCTGAAAGGGCACTGCAGAGTGTCTCAAAGAAATCAGGGCTGAATGAGCCTCATGCTGCATCCTGTCTCAGCTCC